TGTATTGCAGTGATAGTAAAAATGCAAGGGAGGGGGGGGGTAATTTTTCTATTTAAAAATTATTCAGTTCACATTAAAGATTTTTTCCTTAGTCACAGGAGAATAAAAATATTTTTTAGAAGTAAATAAAAACATTAAATGCATATTTAATATATTGTACATAAAAATATTTAAAACAAATATTTTTATACATTATAATAACTTTTTAATTAAATGTAATAAATGGAAGGAATATTATATTTACTGTAAACAAACTTACGTATGGGTACAAGATATTAAAGGAATGAATTGAAATATGTTTATTAATTGAAGTAGTATTATATATATAGGAAAATATTTTGCTTTTATTATTAATATTGTGCTGTAACCATTAAATAAATATCATCAGATTAACATGATGATGTGATTTGAGGTTTGACCTCATCTATTTACAGTTTTTATTTTTTAAAGTTTTGTAAGAAGTGTGAAGCTTTCCTGAATTAAATTCTAAAGTAGCAATTAACTTTCTCACCTTCACATTTATCACAAATCACATTTTTCTGCACTGCAAGTTTCCTAACTGCACCATTATACAATTCCTCTAAAGTCACTCCAAGTTGATGCACCACATTTGCACTTTTGTTTTCACGCTTGCGAGTACCACCACCAAAGAACATGTCAAAGATATCCATGGGAGATGACATGCCTCCTCCTCCAATACCACCCTCTTTGATAGCTTGTTCTCCCCCTTGATCATAAATTTTTCTCTTTTCAGGATTCGACAGCACTTCATATGCTTGAGATATTTGTTTAAACTAAAATGTAAAAACAAATCATTGAACGGACAGTAAATAAGTATAATGTGAGATAAGTTAGAAGGAAAATAACCTCTCTTAGTAATTAGTTCCATGAATAAACCAAAGCATATAATCACTGACTTAAAAATTTTCTCTTTCGAGCTGTGCAAATAATAATAGGCATTAGTGACTTTGGACTAGTCCTGTTAAATTATAAAAAATAAATTAATCCGAATACATTACACATACTTTTTATTAGATTTTAATTTCATACCTAAATTTTTCCAACTAATAACGGGAGTTTAGCATCTGACATTGCTTAAACTCATTCTCACTTATTCAGCAAAAAAGAGCCAATTACTACTCTTTAAGTATTCGTGTAATAAATAGAATATACTTTATCCAAATATGATGTTGTGCAAAGAATAATCATTTAAGCATATTAAATTAAATAATGATTGAAAAAAATAAACTAAACTGCAAGTAAGAATTGTTTTAATATTAGTTATTCCTTTTTGAAAAAGTATTTCTTCCATTTTTACCTTTTACGTTAGAAGAAACTTATTTGTTTTTAAGCAGTTTTATCT